ATCAGGCCTTTCGGGGTTGCAGCTCTTTGGCGAACTTGTCCATCCCACACTCAGTGACTCACATTGGGGACTTTGCCTTTTCGCACTGCAGCTCTTTGGTTGAGTTGACCATCCCGGACTCAGTGACCCACATTGGGGATTTTGCCTTTCTGGAATGCAGCTCTTTGGTTGAGTTGACCATCCCGGACTCTGTGACCCACATAGGGGATGGTGCCTTTGGGGAGTGCAGGTCTTTGGTTGGCTTGTCCATCCCGGACTCGGTGATGCACATTGGCAATCATGCCCTTGTAGGCTGCACATCTTTGGTGTTGGAGCACGGATTACAGGGGTGCAACAAAATCATAGCAAATTTGCTACAGGAGTGTTCCTGTCATGAATGCGAATACAGCTGGTTTCTGAAAGGCTGGGTGTGTCCGCAACACGTTGAGGAGTGACGGCGTCACAGTCCGCGACAGCGGAGTCCATGTGCAGCGAAGGAGTTGGTGCTAGCTAGACCCTAGAAGTCGAACCACCAGTGTTTTAATAGCCTGAATCCCGAACCACCATTGTTTTAGCTAAGGGTTTTACATGGTTTTACCAGATCAACCATTTTTTAAATGGTCTTTGACTTCCAGGGTAGAGGTTTGTCCACAAAGAAGATCAAGCTGCCTTCCGGAAAAGGGATCGCCCTTTGTGTGACACTCCCTGTCAGCATCCCTAACGCCCTCCAGGTCACCACCAGCTCCACTTTGAAGTCAGAAGTCACCCAAACTCGGAGACCTGGCCGGTCGACCGGGTGCTGGTAGTAGCATCCCTTCACTCGTCCGTTACACCACGTCACGCTACCAGCACCCGAAGGAGAAGACGAGTAGAGGAGACCTGTTTGTAGAGTGCTGGTATCGACTCACAAACTGACCTGAGCTATATCAATATCCCTACAGAGGTGGTTACCTACAGAGGTGGTGACTCAGTGGTGACAGGTGGTTACCTAATAATGTTACCTACAGAGGTTAAGAGACCTGAACTAGGACCCTACAGGGGTACCGAATTCGGACAGTCTAGTTCGGGTTCTTCAACCTCTGCTGGGACCTGAGCTATATCCCAGACACGACGATCCGGCGAGAAACGGCCAGGGGTGGTTGCCAGAGGGGTCTGTTTGGGGCGGCATACATGGCAGTTCCATGGAGTGTCTGGGTATAGTATATATTATATATATGCATTGTATATTTTGCTGACACAGCCAATGGCTCCAACATATTTACCTTCGTTGGGGTGGCTGATTTTCAGGGGGTCAGGTTGTTCTCTTGTTCGAAAGCGGGGGTGGTTGGTTGGTTTCAGAGGTCAATGTAGGCATTGTAGTGTTACGTCGTGTTTTTAGGAATGCTTCCGGCGCCGGCGACTTTCCCTTCTGTGCCAACAGGTGTCAACTGGTCATTCTCATTCTCGTCAAAATCCATTCTGACCAATTATTTGTCACAGAGATAGCTAAGAATCCATCAGAATCCGGTGCCTGTCAAAGTCTTCGACGACCTGAAAATCAGATCCTTTCCATTTCCTCCCCTCCTTGCAGCACCGTGCAGCGGTCCCAGCGGCGAAGGTGTCCACGTCCAAGCCGTGGGCGAGGTCGACGGCCACGCGGACGCGCGTCACGCGCCGCTGCGCTTGACGCCCGGAGTGCAGGGGCGCCGGAAGGACGCGCGCAGGACGCGTGTTGACACTGCCACATCATCCTGGATCATCCTGGTGATGTGGATGGCTTCGATTTCGGACCCTTTTCCTGCTTGGCATCAAGCTATAGTCCTTATACCTCAGACTCCGGACACCTCCACTCCGGAAGAAGGGTGGCATTTCGGGTCGGAGGTCCGGTCCGGACCGAGCCCGGAAATGCGTTCGCCGAGGGCGGTTCGGAGGTCTACGACGTTCGATGCGTTCGGATTGACGTTTTGGTCGGGTCCAGATGGTCCAGGACCGACCATGGTGTAATAGCACGGATCCTGGTGTCACGGGCATATCCAACAGACCTGGTGTACAGCTTAGTTGGTTCGGTAGAAACCGGATTTGATTTCTCCCAGTGGGAAGCTGTTTTTCTTTCCGAGCTTCGCAGCATCAAGCTTTGTCTTTGGGAGGTTCTTGTTCAACGATGGATCCACCCCCGGCAAGCAGCTTACTAAACATACCTGGATCTTCCAACCATGCAACATGTATGCTTTTTGACTGGTTTTATAGATGAAGTTCAGCAGACATTTTGCACAGTTGGACGATCCAGGCATATAGTTAAAATTGAGTTTGTCCTACGACCTGCAACAGTCGGTATATAATCGGTAAACAAAAACATCACTATCTTACAGATCACTATCTTATAGAAAAGGCTTTATGAACCATCATCATTCTCCGGGCCTTGGTAATGGGATAGACCCATATAATTTATAAACATAAGATCTTAAGAACCTCGTCTCCCACCATTTACCATGCACTACCCTTGAACAAGAGTCTTGCACAAGCTGACCTAGAAGCAAAAAACTCCTGCTGACCGAGAATATTGGAAGACTGTTGGTGCATCGACACACCAGGACCCCCGGTGAAACAGGGTGTCCAATTACCCAGACACGACCTGCCAGAAAGTTCTGCCGCCCCAGAGTCTCACCCTCCTGGCACCACCCAATCGGCCGTGAAATGAAGGCAGCCCGGACTGGCAGTCCCAGATGGCGGTCGTGTCTGGGAATTGTAAGACTCCTTTTTCAGAGACACAAAGGCATAGGAAACCACCCCATGGCACCCATGACACCCATGGGTATACGACTCCTGGCTGCCATTCTAAGACTCCTGCTGTCCAGCGACACCACCCCCATGGCACCCGAAGGGACCGCTTTCGGCCATGGGGCCGTCCAGCGCCATCACGAAGACCCGTTTTCGCCGCATTCGTTGTCGCCGCCGGAGTCTCGCCGCTTTTCTTGGACTGAAAGTCCTGCTCATCAGTTCGGCATGGGGAAGAGTTCGCCACGCCCGATGGGGGGCTTACAGCCGGCTGTAGAAAAAGAAACTGTCAACAAGGCACGAAGGCACGAAGGTGTAGTCGTTTATTTGTTCTACAGCGCAGGATTTTGAGATGCAGTCTATTTTGATGCAGTCTATTATTACATATAGTCAAACGGATGATCTTCACTTCAAGTTTATGGCAAGATCTTCTCACAGGATTCAAGAGACCCTTCACCTGCAGTTCAAAAAACGCCTCCAACTTGCTTGAGACAGAAGAACAACACGTCACCATGGCCGAGGAAGGCGCGCATTCTACGAGTCTTGGGCCCCTTTGACCTGGCTCTCTACGAGGAATGCCTCCTTCAGCAGCGGAACTGCCGCTTGCGACGGATAGTTCATTTGCGCGCGTTCATTTGCGCCCGAGTAACGAGCTGGTGGTGGGGGTGGGGTTGAAAGCGGAAGAGGTACATTTTGGGGTTTGGGGTGCAGGCGTTCGTTCTCTTGAGGGTGAGGTTGAAGGGAGATGACAGAGATGAAACGGAACGCCCATGTTGCCTTGGTCTTGGTCTGACTTGCCTTTGGCACCACCGTTCCATGCATTGGACAGACTGGCTGGGACGACTGGATTCCTGGATTTAATTGGCAGGCATGTTAGTTGGAAGATCGAGGAATGGGGTGACGAAAAGTGTGTTGAAAAGGATGGTCAAGGGTTCCTTTGGTGCGGTCAAGGGTTAGTTGACAGTTGAACAGCTTTCAAAGAAGGGCAAATGGGAGTGATTTTTCACCCACATGAAAAGTCAGCAATTACATGAGAGGCGCCAGCTGATGCAAAGCCACCAATATCCATGCATTACATCAAAACGCCAGCCGATGTGTCTCTTCGGACATTGGAAGGCTTGATGGTTCCGGACATTGTGGGCGGCCATCAAAGGCTCCCAACTGTGATTCCAAAGACACGAACAGCCGGGCCAGTGGATTCCAGATGAATCCAAGCCAACCACTGGACCACATGGAACCCCCCCAAACCACTGAGTTGCCTGCGGACGCCTGGTTTTCTACGGGTTTCATGTCTCAGGTTCCATGTCCAAGTCTGTTTGACCATCCAAGAGAGGTTGAGAGACCTTATAGGACCCCATAGTGGTACGTATGGGATGGGCGACCTTAAGGCTGTTCAACCTCTCTTGGATTGTCAGAAAAACCATTCGTTTGTTGGGACGGTTTTTCTTCTCAGGTCGGTCAAACGCACGGCCGGTCCAGCACCACGGCCCTTTTCGGTGTGTTTTTCTGGCTGGGTGGTAAGGTGGTATAATGCATTGTATCCCATTGGAAACGACCTGGTGTTGTATAGTGCTCCCATTGTAGACACATGGAAACGATCTGGTGTTGTAGTGCAACATCCTGAGTCAAGGGCAGGTGGTTCTGAACGGGGTCAGGTGCGCAGAGCTGAATCCTGGCTCACATCCTTCGTCAAAGAGTTCGGTGGTTCGGAAAGAACAGGCTATTGATGGCTATCCCAGACACTCCATGTATGCCATATATGCCTACATTGACCCCCAAACCCACCCCAAATGTAGGCAAATATGGCATACATGGAGTGTCTGGCTATTGTAAATCAAGGGGTGCTTCGAATCGGTGTGGGTCGATTTCCGCGAGCAGCAGCTCTGCACCCCAGACACTCCACCGCTATAAATTCATGGACTTCATGGCAATCCCGGTTTCATTGGTTTACACACCAAGAGAGGTTGAACAGCCTTATATGTACCACTACATACCACTACCATATGTACCACAGACCAGGGTCCTGTAAGGCTGTTCAAGCTCTCATGGCAATTTTGCACTACCAAATTCAGGTCGTTCCCTTTTTTGACCTGGTGCAGGCCATCGGAAGACGAGTTCCGGGCCGCCCTTGAAGAACTCTGGAGCTTGGAGAACCATCGACTTGAACTCGACCATGAAATCGAACCCATGTCCCAAGCAGAAAAGAAGGATCTGGATAAAGTCTGCCAACCGTCCAGCCATGTGCGAAGGCGTTCCAGGATCGACCTGTCTTGCCGGGTTCCAAACAGTTGTTCCTAGTTGGGGCTAGGGTACATGTGGGATGAGCAAAACAAGAGTTTGGTAGCTGTTCCCTTCAAGGTGTTCGTCTCAGGAGCGACGTCTCAGGTTTGGCAGCTTGCAGCGACGTCACCTAGCGGGAACAACGAAAAAGAGACGAGCTCCTGCTGTGATCGAAGAGGCTTCGTCAACACCCAGACGCGACATGCCCTCCTAACTCAGTAGGGGCCGGACTCTCTCTCATTCGGAGGGGACATCTAAATCCTCCAAATGGTTTTGGAGGGACCAGTTTTGGAAGTCAAACTCACTCGCGGGTCCACGTCATTTTGGGCAGTCCCCATCTACTTGGGCGAGAAGATATTCACTGAGAACAAGCCTTCCAAACCTGTGGAGCATCAAGAGCTGGCCACGTGAGCCCCAGTGACCTCATGTGACACCCAGAGATAGGCGCAATTCAGTTCTTTTGCACAAGGTGCCATGGTTAAGAGGATAGTTTTTTCACTCAAAACAAAGGCAGCAAGTGAGATGCCCTACATTCTCTACGGAGCATTCTCCACCATTCTCCCTCAGAGGTGTAACATCCTGAAGAAAGAGAGACAATGGTTGGATGCTTTCGGGCTGATCTGGAAAGGCAGTTCCTACAGTTCTCAGGATATGTGCAGCGACTTTCCGTGACTTGGATCAAAGCATCTCTTCGGAACAAGAACTGCAGATCCATGCAGATCCGCACGAAGCATATCAACGGTGGGTGTGTAGCTACATAGGGAGACCTCCCAGTCAACGACCCCTTGAAAGAAGGAAAATAGAACAGTCTTACCGACCCATTGGGCCAGCCTTGGGCCAGGGGATCTCAGCTGTAAAACTACAGCAGTTCTCACTGCTGAACAAACGCTGCCATGGTCGCACGCCGGCCTTTTCCTCCGCGGAAGCGTTTCCGCCTGCGGCGTTTGCAGCGCCTTCTGTTCGGCGCGGCGCCGGCTCGCGCCGGCGCGCGGCGAACACGGCTGGCGAAGGCTGACAGCGGCCTGACAAAGGAGACGACTCCTGTGGCACCAGCTTCGCCTCGCAAAGATGGGATTGAAAAGGTCCAAGAGCACGTGAAGGTGCAACTTGAGAAGAGCTACAAGAACTTCCAGGTGCCTTACAAGGTGACCAAGTCACCTTGAATCAAAGATGCTTTAAGTGATGAACAGCAGCGGTTCGCGGATCCAAACGTAAACTATCGTAAACTGCCAGCGCCCAGCGTGGCTGGTTCGTTGTGTTGGATATCCACCTGCTAGTACGCCCCTCCCATGACACGCGTGGCAAAGAGAAATGCATCAAGACCTCCGCACAAGGCCTCGCGGGGAGCTGGCGATCTCCAGCAGTTCGATGCTCGCACGGCCACTGGCCCAGACGCGACCGCCATCTGGGACTGCGTTCTGCCGCCCCAGAGTCTGACCCCCCTGGCACCACCCCTGGCCATTTCTCGGCATATGTGGCAGTCCCATGAAGTGTATGGCATTGGGGTTGTTGGGGGGTCTCCGTCCAAGCAGGTCGGCGCTCGACTCGAGGCGAGAATCGCCTGACCACGTGGCGTGGACGGCGATCGGGCCAAGGCTGTGAAGCGCGTGGTGCCTCGATATGCTCGGATCAATGGGCTGGTGCCAGGAGACGAAGACGACGGGTGGCGAGGTGCCGGGGGAGCGAGGAATTGTGCCAGCGAACGATCTTGCAACTCTGCAAAAAGACCAGGACCATCCGATGGGTGTCCTGGCTGGACTACCCTACACTACCTATAGGCTTCCATTGGGCACCCCTTGGATGGTCCAGGGATGTTTGCCTTTATCATCACTCTATGGATCCAAGTACCTTCTCAAAAGGTGATTGGAGACTCTGTTATACAGGTTGGAGACGCGGATTTAAGCCAACCAAAAGGCAGACATGTTGCACATCGTTGGAAGATCAGGGTATGGCCCCTCCTGCGACGGGGGAGTGCCTACAAACCCTGGCCGCGGCGACGGGGGGTCCGGAGCTTTACTTTTGGCCAGATGGAACAAGGTTCGGGCCCGGATTGATAGGGTGGGCATGTATGTGCTCATACCAGGACCCTCCAACTGTTTGGAGACCCCACCACAGGTGGGGAACCTGGGCACCGGACTTGGAAACACAGGAAGCACCTGGCCAGGAGGGTGCTGGTAGACCAATGATATCAAATGCCCATATTTGCCGCGAACTCTTCCAGTCCCGCGGATGGGAGCGAGTCACTTGGGACCTCCCGACTTCCATCACGTGCCCTCAGGAGTCACTTGGGGCGAGGTGCAGCGGCAGTTGCAAAGGACGGGGCACACCTTCTGGCGCCCCAGTTTGTCCGAAAAGCGCCAGGCCGTTCGCAGACCCGAAGGCTTGGAAGGCTCAGTGCCTGCTGGAAAGAAGCGCCTCGGCGAGCGAGCAAGTGCGCGAGCGAGCACGAGCGAGCACACGGCGCGTCATGGATTGACATCAATTAAGAACACCATGGTTTCCCACTTGTCGTGTAACTGGTGTATGTGTGCGCGCAGGCGAAGACTGCACTAATTTCAAGTTGATTTGTTTTCCAGACTTTCCTCCCTGCAAACACAAATGACGAAAGAAAACACGCAAACACTCATTCTAATTGTTTGCTCACTTTCCCCTCATCCAACAGCCAACACAGAATCACCCCTATGATCCCCTATGTTTGTATTCAGTTTGTTCTTGTCCTTTTCCTTTTCCATTTCCCCTTCCTTGCCCGTTTCCTGTCATTTCCTTTTGGTGTCGTTTTCCTTTTTTGGGGTTTTCCTTCTCTCTTATTCCTTTCATGTCCTTTCACAAACCTTCCTCTCTCCACAAGCACAATTCGCCAAATCTAAGAATTGCAAGAACTTTTATAAATTTCCAGATTGATCGATGTTGGTCTTTTAGAATCGTAAACACGCAGAATCGTCAACTGCAGCATACGATCACCACCTCGTTCTTTGAAAACGGCTGTCCTCGCTGACGTTCAGGACGTTAGAATTCCGTCCGTAGGAGCTGGGCTCAGGGCTCCTGGGGGTGAATCCTTCGGTGAAGGCGCTTTCTTTTCGCACTGGACCCTAACTGTTCTCATTCCCTAGGGATCCAGTCGTACCTCCTCAGAAGGTATTTGGACCCTCTAAACCTACATGACAGTGTCTCCAATCAGCTTCTGAGAAGGTACTTGTTTTCGTAGGGATTCATGAGGTGAAACTTTTCGATTGAACTCCCGGAGATTCCCTCCATAGCATTCCTCATTCCTTTTTCCGCCACCCTCGGCCGTTTGCCACCGGAGTGCCTTGCGGCGATGGGCTAGCTGAAGCTAGTTCAATCAGTTGGTTTCCAACTGTTCCAAACTTTCTTCTATATATAGAATTTCCAATATATAAGCTTATTGAATTTTATATGTAATTCTACAACCGATCAGTTGGTTCCCAAGCTTTTCAAAATGCATTTTACTGGTACCTGGGATCATCCAATGAGTCCTACGCTATCTCCAAGGCTCCGGATGATCCCGATACAGTGGGCCTTCGATTCGGTTCGATGGCACCCCGTTCGATGTCTTTGACAGACGGAGGTCCATATAAACCAACAGAGGTGGAGAGTGACCTGAACTAGGACCCGTCATCAGGGGTACCGAACTAGGATAGTCTAGTTCGGGTTCTTCAACCTCTGTTGGAACCATGGTGTCCACAGACCTTGGGGCGCATGGTTTTTTGGCGCTATTCCAATGTCACATGGTATATCTTCTCCCGCAGGTTGCCACGCAAAGATTCAAAGAATCCAGCTCGGTCGCACGAAACGAAGAAGGATGCTCATGGCCAATACATACAAATACGATATGGGATCCCAAATGGTCCATCACAAAGCAGCTCTCCCGGCGAGTCATGGCACCTCGGTTGGCTGGTTTCGGTTGACTCAGTTGACCCATGTGTGGCGTCGATCCGCCTCGCCCGAGGATCTACTACCGTGATGTGCACCTCCCTGATGTGCTGGTGTTCCGACCCATGGGACAGTCATGTGTGGATGATGTGACTTGGGCCACTCTGAAAGTACTCTAGACCTGGACCCTCCGAACTCAAGGGTGTCTGTAAAAAGTATGTAAATGGCCTCTTGGAGGTGATAAGAGGTGTCCAAAAACCACCGAACTTGGGGAGGTCCTGGTATAATTCTGTAAACTCCCCCAACACTGCATGCATGTTAAACAGACGAATCACAAAACATAATTTAGAGCTATAACATGAGAACCTCCCCTTAAAGAAGACACCTCTGAGGTAGATAGAAATGACCATGTTTACGGACAGAACCTGTTTGGGTCATGCCAATGTATTCGATGTGTTGTGTAGTAACATGAAGTCACCTCTCTTTAATTTGACCTTTTTGTGCTAAATAGAACCACTAACCCGGTCACTGGCCAGTGGTCCCATTTCACCCGAAAAGGAGCGCAACGCACAGTGAAGCTTCTTGACTTGGCCGTCTTTCAGCCACCAGAGGAGTCCCGTGGTTTAGTGGAACCAGGGTCAGGTCAGCTGGTGAACAGGTCAGCTGGTCTGCTTTCCACTCAGTGCCAGAAGCGACTCGACCTCCTGCAGTTCTGAGCTGTTTAGTTCGACCCATGTGGATGTGGATGTGACCAGCCCGACTTCCTCCATGGAGAACGCACCTGTAGCATGGACCTGTTGGTGACCTTGTCCAGCAGGCTTGTCCAGCCAGGTCACCCCGAACGGAAGCAGCTGTAGCATGGAACCTGCTTCAGTTGCAAGACTGATTAATAGACCTGGGCCCCTGGGCTAGCCAGTTTTCAGCTCGAAGAAAATCAGTAGTTCTGCTGAGGTGAACTTGTTCGATGAGGGCGCCTTGGTCTTTCAGCAGAAGGCGTCCATGTTTCCAGCTCTAGCACTGGAGCCAGCGCCAGGTGCTCAGGTGATCGATGCTTGCGCGGCACCGTGGCTGTCCAATGATGTGCAGCAGTCACATGGAGGGCCTGGGTGGTTTTCAGTCCCATCCAGGGGCTGTGGAGTAGCTGGGCACCCCGACTACCTCCAAGTTCGGCACCCCGGCTTGTGACTGCTGGTTTATGTCAATTTTCTGTTACAAAGCTGGACCATCCAAACCATCCAATGGGTGTCCTGGCTGGACAACCCCACACTACTTATATAGGTCTACTTCAGGGCACCCAGACAGGAAGTGCTAGTAGCGCTGGACATGTTATTTTTTTTCACTTCTCCCGTCCTGGATTTGGTTTGCCGTCCTGTCGAAGAATTGCCGTCCGTGCATGTGAACAGACAGGACCCAGGTAGCGAGCGGAGGAACTGGAAAGAGATGAAGACACAAGGCAACAGCTTCCCAAAACCTAGAAAAAATGAGTGCAACATGTAGGGTCTCGAACAACTCGAACATGCTTTTTGATCCACATCTGGGTGGGTTTGACCCCTCACTCTGTGCTGAAATCAACTACCCTCATGGGCCAATCCATCCCATTTCACAGGCACCTGGATCAAAGACTTCTCAGATGGCAGTGCCTCAGCTGGGCAGTCCTACGGACTGTCTGCACGGAGTCCTCCGCAGTCCTCGGTTAGCCAGGAGTACCTAATCTCGTAGCAAGTGGCAACCCTGGGAGTCAAAGACTATAGAAAGAATGGTCTTTAGGTGACCCGAGTCCAGGAATTTCCTTGACTTCAGTCGGTCAAAATAACGTCGGTTCCTGGATTTCTAGGGTAATTACCTAGAGTCATCCCGTGAGTTCGTACCTGGGATTTCATGGCTACTAATTAGTGTACCTGCCAGCAGTCACATGGAGGGCCTGGGTGGTGTTTAGTCACCCCATCCAGTGATTGGATGTTATGGGCACCTGTACTCCTTCCTCCGTTCGGAACCGGCACCCCGTCTGTCACGTGATTGCTGGTGTTTTTTTTTTCATGTCCCATGTTCCGTGGCGAGAACCTCCGCAGAGGTTCTTGCAGTCACTGGAGGTCCAAGACATGTAGACATGTCTTGAAGCTGATCTGATGTTCAACCAAGAGAGGTTGAACAGCCTTAAGGTCGCCCATCCCATAGGTACCACTATGGGGTCCGAACGTGAAGCGGTCTCTCAACCTCTCTTGGAAGGCATGTCCACTTCGCTGGTGCCATTTCCGTCTTTAGACTCAGATCGATGTCCGATCGGCGTAGTCGATCGGCCCAAGTACATCGGATCATGGGGTGTTGGCTTCCGAATCGCGACCTGTGGGGCCCCAAGAAAGAATCCACCATGGATCATGTCTTGGACATAAAGCATTCATGATCATTCATGTCTTCGGGGGTGTTTTGAGCGTCTTGAAACACTCATCCCGGATGGGCTCCAGTCGTACCATCTATAAGAAGGTGGGACTGGGGTGGGTTTGGAGGGTCAACGGGTCCACATACCTGAAGAGGCACGACATGTTCGCCCAGGTAGGGCACATGAGACGAAGACACACGTTGTTTTCGAGCCAAGTCGGAGGGCAAGGCCATGATCCTGACCTTTCCTGGCCTTCCTAGCCTTGGGGTGTGCCAAGGCCATGATGAAGAACGAGGGAACCATCTTTGCTTTTGATCGGGACGGTCGACGGCTCCGGACGATGATGAATTTGCTGAAGCAGAGGCATGTGACTTGTGTCGAAGCCTGTGAGAAGGACTGCGTTTGATGCAAAATGGCCTCAGTCTTTTGAGACAACCTCCACAATGTAAACCTGGTTTATTATAATAACATATAATTACAATGATTGTTGTTTTTTAATTGTCCTTATGGTTAAATCCCTTTCCGGGGAAGATATTTCCAGGTTCCTTAATCCAGGAGTTGCTTTGCTGTGTTTTCGTTTCAATTGTGCGGAGCGTTTCGTGACGAAGTGTGCAGGACTTCCTACAATCTTCCCCGGAGGATGCCAGGTACCGGAATGTGACCCATTTCTTGCTGGACCCCAGTTGCTCATCATCAGGCATGACTGCACAACCCATCTCAGATGACCTGGCAGTGAAGCAGCTTGCGGAAAATCAGAAGAAGGTGATCCTGCATGCTATGCGCTTTCCTGCCTGTGAGCGCATCGCTTATTCAACCTGTTCCATTTATGAGGAGGAGAACGAAAAGGTTGTGCAGCATGCATCTCAGCGCAAGCAATTCATCACAATGATATACTTGATATAATTAGTATAATATGATATATAAAATATGTTGGTGACTGCACCATGCTGGACATACTGCACCATTCAACCTCTGTGGGTTTTGGAGCCCAAGGGCTGTTTTGAACATGGTGAGAAAATGGTTTTGTGCTGAGAGGTGGAAGATATCAGGCTCAGGCCCTGCAGCTGTACCGACCTTCAACGCATCCATCAGGTCTTGCAAGACCAGCTCGGTGCACACTTTGAACTAGAAGCGACGCTGCCTTGGTCGTGGCCTCAACCTGTCCACTCCCAGTGCGCACCCTCCGCACCAACCCTCACTGCCAGGTCACCACCAGGTCCACTCTTTAAGTCGACCAAAAGCCACCCAAACGCAGGTCGACCTGGCAGGGAAGGTGCCGGTTGTGGTCTTGGGGCCTAATCATTTAATCACTTGCACTGTCCACTCCTGCGCCTTGCCCTCAAAACACCTCGCCCTGCCTCTACGTGGTCTCAAGGAAGCCAAAAGTGCTGTTGTTTGGCAGTTCATGGCAGTTCAGAGTAAGTGCCAGCACCTTCAAAGAGGTTACACTACTTAGGGATCTCTATTGCACACCCCTTGAAGGTCCAGGTATATGTGGATGTATGTGGATTGGGCACGCGTCCAACGGGAGGTATTGCAGCTTACAGCTTGCAGTTGCAATTTTGTGGAGGTGGAGAGTTGATCTCAGATGTACCATGAATCACCCGTGCGCCATGGGGTTTGTCATCGGGCCCTCATAGCCTCATAGGGATCCCATCCAGGTCCAAATCAAAGACGAATTGTCCAGGTCCAGGTCCTTTACCTCATTGAGGTCATGTCCTTTCGCATGATCAAATCCAGCAAAATGAGGTCAATTCCTAACCTGTAGGGGCTGTAGAGGATTCCTACTATCGCTCATTGTCATATACTACATGATTGTATTTGGAAAAGCCACATTGCGCCACATTGCGCCATGCGTCACATTGGTACTCTGAAGCGCAAAACGCAACATCTGCGCAGCATTTGAGGATAGTGAAGCGAGTAAAGTGGTTTGTTTATGGTTCCAAGCCAAATTGATAGGTGGTTTGGTTGGTTATAGTCATAATGGTTGGTGAACCGTTGGATGTTGCTTGCATTTCGCTGAGAATTTCACACATCTAGCAGGCTGAGGACAGGACCCAAACGCTGATTGACTTGTCAATTTGCGCCTGAATCAGAGGCTGAAGGGTTCTCACCCTCATCATGTAGGTGGTTAGGATCTTTTTATTGTCAACCTTATCTTGGGATGATGTTTCACCTACTGACAGTATGTTTTAAAGAGTTTCTGAGCTGAAACCCACCAACTGTATCATGAGCACCTGGAATCGAACACGAAGCCATCGCGCTGAGCACCACGAGTCAGCCACTCGCCCAGGTGGCCCAGGCGCGGGTCCCCCAAGTTCGAAGAGGTCGCTTCGCGCTGTGTGCGCAGCAGCTGGGAGGACCAAACGATTGGCTTCTTTTGCGCGCTCTTCGTCAAAGAAGAACCATCCGTCCGGGACCGGGTAACGGGTCGGCCGAGGCAGGCCGTTTTCACGGCCGGACAGGCGGTTTTGGTCGTTGGGGGGCCGGAATGGAGGGGTGGCGCGCTTTTGGAAGGTCATTAAGTAGCTTCGTTGTTACAGGTGAAACGATTCCCAAGGAAGCTTACTAGTTACTAGAAAGCTGAAAGCTTCTTGTTACTAGAAAGCTTCAAAGACCTCCTAGTAGTGTCCTTGCTCCTAGTAGCTTCAAAGACCGTTCCTAGTAGCTTCTTGTTACTAGCAGCGATCAAAGACCTACCAGGTGGGCATCTTATTGGGCCGAGGCGCTCTCTTGGACGTGGCGCCACACATGAGTCAGATGACGCAGCACATCCAGAGCCTATATATGCTTGACTGCAATTTTACGTATGGGAGTCTTGCAAATATCGATGTGGTCATATTGAATTTCTGTATATCTGCACCACTTGGAAAGAAGTTCATGAAGCATCTTCAATTTCCATCAATTTCCAATAGATCCACGCTGTCAATAGATCCAGCACCCAGCATTGCCTCGGGTGCTGTACAGAAGCTATTTTCTCCGAAATTGACTTATACGTACTTAACAGATGTTTCCGCCTCATCCCAATAATCACCGTCTCCGATCCCCCCAAAAATATACACGCCCTCGCGACTCGCGATCCCTACTTTCTCGCCTCTTCCTCCTCCTCTTCCTCGTCTCTCTTATCCTATCCACAGGCGCGGGACGTAGCATCGAGTCGCCTCGGAAGTCGAGTCGCATCGAGTCGCCTCGCCAGGTGCCACTCTTGGAGTACTTCGGCCTCGGAAGCACCCCCGACAGGCGGCCCATTTGCCGCGGGGGCCGAGCCGGGGCCGGAGCTTGGAACTGCTGCGCCTTCGGGGGGGGGGTTTGGAACGCCTTCCCGACGGCGTGTCGCGCGTTTGGAGGGGCTGAAGGGTGGAGGGATGAGGGGCTGCCATAGTGCAAGCCCAGCAATGCATGAAATGGATTAGGTGCTTGGTGTCTTTTTCCACTCAAAACATCTCAAAACCACCCCAATCTATAGGCAAATAGTCCATCAATCGTTAGTTTGGAGATTCAGCAAATGGCAGAAACGCGGATGAGATCACTCCAGGGATTTCTTGAGGGGTTGAGCTACAGCGTGAAACAGGCAGTAGGGACCAGTTTCAACTTCTTAAACCTCCGGTCGAATCATGGAATAGTGGACCATACGACCTGACCAGCACACGCTTTAATGTAGACTCTTGATTAATACACCCCCCCATTTGAATTGAACATCCTCTTCATATGGGGGGTTTATGCTCCTCAAGAGTCTACAGTCTACATGACCTGACAAAACGGGGTTGGCTTCTCATTGCTTCTCCAAATCCACCTTGCTCTTCCCACCAAGACCTCGTAAGAGTCAGACTCACTCTCCCGCTCTTCCTCGCGACCTCGCGCCCTCGCGCGACTTCGGCGCCCGGCACGCGTGCCGCCAGCCAGGGGCCCGCGGAACAGCTACCATGGCCTGGTGCGCTTGCGGTGGCGCCGGGGGTTCTCAGAGACCTGCGGACGCAGCACGCACGCTGAGACAGACAGACGTGGGACGCCGGAAACAGGTGCCGGCCCTCCCTGGCGGAGGTGATGCGAGGGGTGGAAAGCTGTGTATCTCAAAATGAGTGTGAATGAATTGATTGGACCCCAGACACGACCTGTCTGGCACTGCCAGTCCGTTCTGCCCCAGAGTCTGACCCCTCTGGCACGCACCACCCCATCGGCCGTGAAATGAAGGCAGTCCGACATGGCAGTCCCATGGAGTATTTGGGAACGATAGAACTCCAAAGATGATTTTTGGAGACGCCCCAAGTCTGCGGACATGTCCTTTTCATTCGGGTGAGGTCATCGAGTGAGAGCATCATCAAAAATGGTGGACTTCCAGGCTTGCTACCTGCTAGAAGGTTTCTTGGGGTGGTTTCAATATGTTTCAAGCTCCCATTCCTGCAGGTTTTTGAGCCGCAGAGCTAGCTTTTGGGGATTGATCATGTTTTTTCAGAACATCCAAGCTTCGACCTGGTGCTGTTTGACACCTCGTGCTGTTAGATGCATCCAACCCCAAAAAGGCAACCACAACCAGGACCTTCCAGTCGAGGTGTCTCTAAATAGCCTCTTAGTGGTTATATAAGGGGTGTCCAAAACCACCGGGCGTTTTTTTCGGTCCTGGAAATGGACATATATTCTTTGTGACCTGGTCACCGTTGGTGCCTTGGCATCCAGGACCTTACACATCCACGAGGGACCGTGTGGAAGCGAGGGGACTGTCTTGGAACTCTTGTCCGTGAACGTCCAGAACTCTTTTTCTGGGCCACGTGTGTCTCTGGAATCTTCAAGTGAATGGTTGGAAACCATTGCATTTAAGACAACATCGTGGATACCAAGGCAAATCATTCTGTTCCAAAGGTTATAGATGGATCTTTCCAAGCAGGGATGTGGTCGTAGAAGTGTACTATAATGACGAAAACGTGATCCAGTCAGTGTGTTTAGCCAATCTGGTGAGGTCATTGGCGAATTGAACTGGGCAGAACAAACGCTGCTTGAATTATTGTCCTTACAAATAGCTTGGAAGTTTCTAGCTTCCCATGCCCCGTGTTCAGGTATCGGGAACCTGAAAACAGTGGATTCGGAAAACGGTATAGCAAAAAAGCCAGGGACACAACGCGGACAGAAAGCGGAAGTGTGGCGGCCGGGACATTTTGCGCGGTACAAATCCACTGTGTAGAGCAGTCCCTGGCCTGGGGTGACTCAAAAGAAAGCGGCCACAGAACCAGACATGGAACCCGACATAACCAACCTGGAAAATGGACCGAAACTGAAGACCAGCTTCCACAAACCAGTGGTTGGCGTACCTCACTTTGGGGGGGGGACTGACTTGGGGCCAATCGAGTACCGCGTTGATTGGCGCACGTCACCCAAGGGGATACCGTGCTCTACCTGGCCGGCAGTTCTTCCCCGTTTTTGAGGCAGGGAGGTGAGGGACTTCTTCACCTGTATGGACACGTAAAGCGTAAAGACCGGTTCCTTTTTGAAACAACCCCAAAAGCCTCCAAGATCAGTGCTGACAGTCGCACTTTGTAGGAGATTGAATAGACGATTCATGTCATGTCATGCTGCAAGAGCCAGGGTTAAAAGAAACGCAATGCTACGATAATTCTGCTGTATACATTCTTTTGGATCAGAGGAGGAAGTCCACCTTTCCAAGATCCGCCGCGGGGACAGCGCTTGTGGAGAGAAACCGGTTTCAGACTAGGGTCTGTGCACGTCGGACCTTGGAATCTCATCTCAGAAGAGGTCTGGACGTCAAAGACCCAAATGGATCCAAGTGGGTCCAAAATCCAAAGCAACAAAACGGTCCTTCAACGTGCCTGATCCCGTCAGCCGCGCGGATCACGTCAGGCAGCGCAGCGGCCTCATGATGATCCCGTCGGTCGAGTTGGGGCCCCTGAAAGCGGTGGGTGACACAGCGGGAGGTGGCACAAGGTGGGTGTTACACCCGGGAAGATCAACTAACCTGAAGGCATGGTTTTCACGTTCCATGTGGTCTCTTCCAGGGTGTGTGTGTGTGTTGTTTCAAAACGTGATTTGTGCAGCTCAAGAGTGCACAAAGTGTGAAGCATTCTGCACAAGGCCTTCAGGCCTTGTTGTGGATGCAAATGATGCCATTTGTCCGTGCTGCTTCACGTGCATATCTAAGTTCAAGAGATCATCCTGAGGTGAACCTCGATGCGATCCTCAGAGATCCTCAGTTATCGTGGATTGCTTATGATTTCATCATCAGCTCTTGCCACCAGATGTGTTTTTGGGTGACAAGCAAAACGGTCGTATGTGGTCGTATCAAGGGAAGCATCTGTGAACACCGAACACCATCTAGCTATACCCAGACACTCCATGTATGCCATATATGCCTACATTGACCCCCAAACCCACCCAAATGTAGGCATATATGGCATACATGGAGTGTATGGGATACATACACGCTTTTTCAAAATGCTACAAATGATCAACGTCTACCATGACAGTCGGGGTGGTTTTTTCTGGACACCCTGAATCACCTCTTTCAGGAACTATCAAAAAAAAAAACCTAGTCCGCGTGTCCTGGTGTAGTTTTCCTGAGAACACAGAACACATGCATAATGCTATTCAAATAAATCAACGTCTATATGAAGGATCCATCGATTTTCTGTTTCTTCTTTTCAGGTTTGAACTTCTTCCTGGAAGCGGAGCTCATCGTACCACCGGGCTCCTGTTGGGGACGCCCAGCTCAGCCTCGCCCCTCCTGCGCCGCGCCTCCAGCGTGTTTCCGGTCGTGGCGCCGGCTGCGGTCAGTTTTCTCCATAGCCAGTGAGCTGTTTGACGTGTTATATGTCTTTTTGTATGGCTAATTAAGCATATACTGTAGGTGTTTCATATGGTGATGTTTGGATGTAGGACATCGGCATTGGTGCAGTTCACCTGTTCCAACTCTGCGCTCTTGACGGCATGAACCGCACCCGACCCCATGACCAGACGTCATCCGCTTTGTGGACATCGCCCAGCCCTTAAGCTCCCCAACATCTGGCGATTTCAAGGCCTCCATCCTTCTTGGCGCCCTGGTCACGTGCCAGTGTGGCGGATGTGGGCGTCAGCTGCTTGCTACACTGTGCAGGCGTGGGTGTGACGGTTTGGAAGAGAGTATAGGAGGTATTGCAGGTATTGACAGTAGGAGCCCATCATCAAGTATGATGTGGGTGCGAAAGTGCTAAAGAAACAGGGGATATTGAGAAACTTAATTTGGGATTACCGAATTGCATGACTTGAGACAAAATGTTTTGAGGGCAAATCATGAGGAGGGGAGCATGGAGGAGCCATCACGAGGGTGTCATGCTGGTGGAATTTCCTTCACTTGTTTTTCCACTGTGCAACGCCACTGCAGGACGCAATGAGCTTTGCGTGAAGACCGGCACGCTTGATCGGGGACGCATACACAGAACCTGGTGGTCCAACTGATTTTTCAAACCTGGCTGTGCTTCCGGGGAGAAGATTGTCTTGGAGTTTTCTCCCAGGAAAGCAGATTTGATGGCAATCACTGATGCCATGCTAAGTCAGCAATTAAGATTAGTATGAGCTTGATCAGGGTCCTACTCCGTGGAAAGGGCACAAGAGAGAGCAGATATACCTGGATCTTCCAACTATGCAACATTTCTTCCGAACCTGGCTGTTTTTTTGTCATGACATGTCATGACAAATAAATATGAACAGGCAGGATGTGTTGCACAGTTGGAAGATTGATCAGTTTTTCGATGCAGCTCCGTTCCACGCTCCGACGCCGGGTGCTGGAAAAACCATGGAAAAGGAGCCTTCCAGATCTACCACGTGCAGTGATTCCGACCAATGGATCCTCCGTCAAATGGCAAAGGCACCTTCAAGCATGAATCAGTCTCAAAACATCTTGTGTCAATGGATTCCCCCCCTCCTCACCCAGATATGGATGGGCAAAAACCCATGTAAAACCTCTTTCGTTCCTGGGGAGGTCTTGGTCTCCATGTCCGGAACCGGTAGTACCGGTTGACCGCCCACCCCTCCTGCCCGCCAGGTCGACGCGGATGTGGTGCGGACCCTTGCCCGGTAGCGTGTGACGCGAGACCAGTCCCGTCGTCCGTCGGTAGAAGAAACGAAGAGGAGTGGGGGGGATGTGTGGTGTTCTATGTTTTATCTCTGGAAGGATCCAACATATGATTGATCCGAAGGTTTTTCTTTCCAGCACATTAAGTAATGATCATTAATGTTGATTTTCTGCATCAGGGTCCTTAGATAACGGTATAGTGTTCCATTCTGCAGCTTTGAAGTCACATCCAGCTCGGATGAACTCGGTCGCAGCCTATTCACCCAGCTTTATTCAAGTGAGTGCTCGTTTGAGCATGGCCAAATGCCAGCAGTATCATGTCAGAGTGAAGAAAAATGAAAAGGGGTACCCCACCAGCGAAGGTGAGGCGTCAAGAGGTTCAAAACCCCATAATTTCATGTGTTGGAATGCATGGGAAGGCGAGAAATGCTTCCTGAGAATGGCTGTGGCCTGGGGCGCAAGTACATTCTTTGCCCTAGCACTAGCCTTCCAACTTCCACGCATTATATAAAAGGGAAGGTTGGCCCAGCTTCGTAGTCCAAAATCCTTAGTATACTTGCTCAGTAAAGACCAGCAAATCATTAGTCGCTGGATGTATCTATATATGTCATTCTATGTCTATGTGTTTAAGTATTAACCTACCTGGACCTTCAAGGGGTGTCCAATGGAGGTCCCTTAGTGGTGTGGGGGCCTCCATTGGTGACCCCTTTGAAGGTGCTGGTAGGAATCCAGCCTCGACGTGCCTGTCCAAGGCCCTAGTGGCTCGCTGTCTGCCGCCCCTCACGGTGCCTCGTCACGCGAAGAATCGTTGGAGAAGTTCAAGCTGATTTGGTGCAGCTGAATATGTTGAGATCCACCAGCAATCTCCGCCAGACACGTTCTTGACGTTGAGACCCCCAAGTGAAAAACAAATACCACATCGACCCCTCATGACAGGACATTATTCTGTGCCAGCTGGATTTGGGAGCCAAGTGAATGCGGGTGATGGGTGGTACTGGTATGGGTGGTGTACCCCTCTTCATCACACGATTTACGTCCCAAGAATCACCTCATCGCCCTTCTCAGAACAATTATCCAAGGCCCTTGAGGTACTTGTTTCCTTTGGTCACACCACCTGGACCTTCCTCAGGGACAAACTCCTGCACCACCAGAAACAGAAACAACAGTCTTTGAAGACTCCTTCCACCATTCGCCACTCCTTCCACCATCCCACTTGAGGGCTGAGGACGGTGACCGGGGTTCGGGACAACGAGGAGCGTAAGGGGCGGCGAAAGTAAGGGAATGAGGCCACTTTCGCCCCTCATTCCTGTGGATCCATGTGTCTCATTCCCACTCATGACGCACCAGGCCAGAAACCCCGAACGGAAGTGGACCAGAACGACCTTCCAGGTGAACCCACCAGGCCATACCAGGCCAGGTCCATGAGTCAAGTCCGACTCCAAGGAGCTGCTCCGATGTGTTCACTGCCATGACAAGGCACGGACCGATTCACTGCGCTGGATCGGGTGGGTCCCAGGTCCACCAGGTGGGGTAGACCTGGTCGAACCCGCGGGTCGGGTCGCTTCACATCGAGGTGCGAGATCTGGTTCAGTTGAGAGCTCGATCCTGCCCATTTCCTCTATGAAATGCGGGGGTCGGCCTCATATAAAACGTTTTGGAGCCGCCACCTGCTGGGGGGTCAGGACATCATTTTATAGAGTTGTTACTTTTCAAGCACCATGATGTGGCATGAATGTGAGATGAACAAAAACAACAATATATTTCAAACTATATGAAAACTAAAAATAAAGAGGAAGGATGAGGAGAACTGTTGAATGCTTGGAGGAAGAACTGTTTGCCCGGCGTGGAATTACCTGGCACCTGGCACGATCAGGAAAAACACACCCAGCGGTGCTGCTTCTATAAAAACCTCATATGGACCCCCAACAAACCTATTTTTACAGTTCTCACTACCCTGTAAGTCTGCCAGTCTAACACCCACACACACCTCTCCAAAATGGATGTCCTGACCCCTCCCAAGCATAGTTTGTCAATGTTTTCTTTCACACTTCCAGTTCGTTTGCAGTCCTTAGATTCAATCTTATATGGTTTCTTTATGTTTCTTCCCAGGCATACTCCAGCGCCCCAATCCCTCTCTAAAATTGGCGTCCTGACCTCTCCTCACTAATTTCTTAAAGGTTTCTTGCCTTCTACCACTAGGCAACTCATGGTTCGTTCCCTGCTTTTTGACAATGCATGATGTGGTGGTCATGTGAGAATTGCGATTCCTATCCTTTGGCATCACCAGCATTTCGAGCCTTTTGGTGAAGGAGTAGAAACAGTAAACGCAGAGGTGCTACAGAGGTGCTAGCAAATCATCATTCGATCCCTGCTTTTGGACCATGCAGTATGTTGTGGTCGTGTTAGAAATGCGTTTATTATTCTTTGGCATCACCAGCATTCAAGCCCTGAAGCCCTGTCCCGTCCTAAGGAATTAGTCTGGCCCTTCCACCCAATACCTCCTCTACTCACCAATTTTTTAAAGGTTTTTTGCCTTCTACCCCTCGCCACACCTTAGCCACCTGCCAGAGGCACTCCTCCAGATTTCCTCCAGTGTGCTTCCCAGCCCTGTTCCAGGGCCCTCCTAATGAATCAGTTTGGCCTCCCACCCAATACCTTTATACCATGGGTGTCCTGACCTCTTGCCATCTGCCCCTTGCCACACCTTACCCACAACTGATGATGAGGAGAACATAGGAGAACTGTGTCTTCCTTTGTTGCTTCCGATTTGGCTGTTGTGTTGGACAGTTTTTGAATGTTCAAAGATGGAAGTTTTTGGGATGCTGGGGTGACCAAGTCTGACACTAGACTTAGAGAAGAATTTGAGCGTTCAGGAAAAGACTGTTTACTGCTTCAAATGGTACACTCATGCTTGGAAAATGACCTCAGGTAAGGTCATTTTAGGATTTTCCAAATTTTCTCAGCTTCTATGATTTAGACTACCCTGCAGGTTTGGGACCACCATTTCATGTCTATAAACTGACTGTCAAGACCCCCCCTCCAGAATGGACAGTGTGATATAGCTCTGATGGATTGGGGTTTTGACACCGCGACCCGATTTTGGGGTTGATCCGATTTGATCAGTGAGCGTCGACACGTCATCCACATCCTGAGAAGTTGGGCCCTGAAGAAGTGCCAAAGTGCCAAAGAATCGCTGAAAGACGGCGACCTGGAAAGGAGGTCGAACTGGGAGGTCTCCCGGGCCCTGAGCTACACACCTATATCGGCGGTGTTTTCGCTGAATGCGAGCGATTTGGCCAGCAAAGTGTATGAATGATGGCCATACAAGTGCAAATCGATCAGACTTCGAGTAAGAAGGCGGTTTCCCACGTGATGCAGTGGTCGAACGCACGTCTAGACCTGCAAAACTATAAAACAGTAAACATGTTTGGAACAGCAAGGAGCGTGTCACTGAAGGGATCAATCAAGGGACCTGAAGAGAGAACTTGTATAAAGACATGAGCTACCAAGAGCTCAAATAGACTAATTAATTAACAGAAGTTCCCACTTGTTAAGTTGGAGAAGTCATGGGAAAAAAAACAAAGAAACAAGGCATGCAATGCGATGTGAGGCAGACTCCAGCGCTTTCCCTGGTCTGGAAATGAGGTGCGGCGGACTGCTGTGAGGGCTTGGGGATTTCGAGTGTTCTGCTCTTCAAACACTGTGACTCTGGGTCTTTCAACCGGGAGACCACCCGACCCACTAGTGAACATGACGAGCCACAGGAGGTCAACCTACCAGTTTTTGGGGCTCCGGGTGTCATAACGACCCACAGCCATGTGAGACTCAGAGGAACAATCCAATGCTTCGATCGATACAATGTTTCGATGTCCCAATCAATGCGAGGCATCGCATCCATCTAAGTAAATATTACCAAAAACCATCAAATGTAGGCGATATTTGCGCCACCATGGATCGCTTGGGTAAAAGATTGTATGTATTTTTGCTGACATCTCTGACTTGGGGACAAGCAATCCGCACCTTTTTCCTGTGAGAACTGGAAAAGTCCTAGGTCTCATTTCGCATGTTTTCTCTCGCAATTCCGCCGGATAGGAAAGCCGTGCTTCTGGTGCCTGCACAGCTCATCTATTTTCTATTGGGGTGGCGAACGATGCAACAGGTTTCAAGGTCCGCTCTCTCGAGATTTCACATGACGCCTGAATTCCTTGCATTCCTTGCCTTCATCCAGGGGTGGTAGACCAGGCATCTGGTAGATGATGGGACGGTGGTTCAAGGTTCCAACGTCCCAACGTCCAAATGTCCAAGGTGAAAACGAAGTACCTTGGGTTTGCCTCACATTCCCATGCAGTTCAGGTTGACTTTCTTTCTTGGGGAAGAGAATGCCCACCTCTCCAAGCGTCAGGTCCGGGGACTGCTACGCTGGAGCTCCCCTGATCAAAGGCCCCGGGCAGCAGCTCGAAGGCCGCCCGGACTTGGGGACGGCGGACGGAGAGATCTTTTGGGGCCTGACATCTACCAGTAGATCACAGGCTTCTGGGTGAAATTTTGGGATGTGTGACCATGTGTTTTTGCGATGTTTTCGGGCAGAGGCTGACATCTACCCGTAGGTTACAGCTTGGCTAGTAGCATGGCGTTCCACGTGTCTCAAGTGGGAGGAAGAATCCACTGCAGGGCAGGATCCAGACACATCCTCGCTCCGTCGCTCCTTCGGCAGCGGACACTCCTTCGCTCCCAAGCTGCGAGGGTTCCGCGCGAGGGTTCGGCGCGCACGAGGCCGCCGCATGTCCTCGAAGTGCGCCTCGCAGCAGGAGGGCGTCCAGCGGCTCTGCGCCCCTTGGAGAGATGTGCCGTTTCACGGAGCGAAGCGAGTGGGAGATGGACACCAGTGTGTGTGCGTGGGGGTAATGTGGGGACGAAGGTCTGAGTGTCTACTTTTGTTGATAATTCTTTTCTCGAATTGCTCGTCTGACAGTCAGACGAGGAGTTTGTTGGTACCTGTGACCGTGTGTGGGAAGAAATGTGGGGCATGGCCAGGGCGGTGTTTCAAGCTGGACTCTGGAAAAAGACAAACAAACAGAGAAACACACACACACACTTTGGCAACGACACAGAAAGCCACGACTGGTTTGTCGACTTGTGGTGCGGGCAAAACCCCGACCGAACACACAACTCGGCATTGTATGCCATGTAATAAAAGAATCATAAAGAACCAAAGAGGTTTAACATCCAGAAAGTGCATTCCTCAAACTCAAGAATTCATACAGATTCAAATAAGACTTTACAAGTTCATATTATGTACAGACTCAAATTCTTGCAAACCCAAACCACCTGGAATGAACACACTGCAGAGCGTATTTTCGCCAGAATCACCGGGCCACGCGTCGGTTGAACGATCCTCGTCAAGACCTCTACCCTGTTCCTGTTTCCCAACACCATCCTTCCTTGGTCCTTCCATTCTCCTAAGTTCCACCCAAACATATTCGTCCACGCGGAGCGCGTCCTAGGTCTGTCGTAGCCAAGGGGAGGCCATCGTGGCGGGGGGAAGATAGGGGTGTCTCAAACCAAACCTTACACCCATCTAAACCTCGAAACCCTCTCTCCGGTAGCCCAACAGGTGAAAAAAAACGTAACCAGGCACAGTCCTCCTAGCGACACAGGATGTTGTACTAGAGTAGGAGGACTGTAGGAGGCATGTGCCACAACTTGTGACCCCAGCTAGGTCATGGTCTTCTGGTGAGTTCGAAACGTGTATTTGCCATACCTTCCATCTAGTGAGAGACGTGGGTCACATTGGCATACGGTCTTAGTCTGATATTTTGAGTCCGTATGTCAGTCATTTATGAACCTGCTTCACCAGACACTCCATCAGGGGACTGGCATACGACTTCGGATCAGTTTTTTTGCTTTATTCAAAGACTAAAACCATATACCGAACGAGGGCCCCTGGTTCCTTGTATTGTGGTTTGCATGGGATTCTAGACATGGGACATATAAGAGAAGTATTATGCCAGGGTCCTGGGAAGATGGCTATGGGTCACCATGCAGGAGATGGACAAATGGCACGACTTACCTCAAGAAGGTCGTTCACTCGCGAAAAACGGACGGACTGGTCGTTTCGCAGCAGACGTTGAGTCTTGACTCAAAAGCATATCCCAGACGCGACCCGTCTGGGACTGCCAGATATGCCGATCAGTTGGGGTGGTTCCACAAAGGTCAATGGGGCGGCATAAATTCCAGTCAAATGGAGTGTATGGGTATTTGATGCCAAGATATAGCAAACATCACGAAGGATGTTGGAGGAGCCGGACTACAGTTTTGTTGAGCAAATGTCCTGGGATCAAGTGGGTGGGGTGTTCATTGGTATTCTATCTACTCCACCCTTTGAGGGTCCAAAGACCCTCAAAGCTGAAGGTTTTCAGGGTCCAAACCCCTGCTATGGGTCAAAACCTTGATAGGAGGGTCCGATCATTCTTAGGGTAGGATGATTATGGAGCGTGATACCACACAAGATGGGCACATAGGTCATCATACGTCCAACACTCACCCCTGGCGCGAATGGGGTATTGGGTTGGTGCTTTGGAGCTTCAGGTAGAAGTGTTTTTTTCTATCTTTCATGTTTAAAAAGATTAGAAACAAACACTATTTGGAACCTGCATGAGCTGTTCCATTTTTGAATATGCTGCCAGTCATCATGATCTGACATTTCATGTGTGGCCACGTGTGCCACGCGCCATTCCACACCGCGCCTGCCGCGCCTGGCTCCGTTCAAAATAGACATCCTCCACGAGCCCCACACGAGTTCACCGTCGCCACGCGCCATGAGCACGCAGACACTCGGGCGGCAGGTGATGGACGACATCGTAGGTATACTACCCTAAGAATCCGGGCCCGAACCAACAGATAGGGTTTGGTATCCTAAGTGTGGTATCCAACAGATAAGGTTTGGTATCCTAAATGTGGTATCCAACAGATAGGGTTTGGTATCCTAAGTGTGGTATCCAACAGATAGGGTTTGGTATCCTAAGTGTGGTATCCAACAGATA